GTTTCGAATTGTCCTGATTTGTCTTTCCCATACACCTCCTGGGTGGCTTGAATGAGGAGTGTGCATTTTGAAGTCACACTGCTTCTCTGCAAGAAATGTGGTAATGCGGTTGGAGTCCACTTGTTTTAAAGCTTCTTGTAGCTCATTTTTAGCTCCGACAAAGTTGCTTCCTTGATCACATCTTATCTCACTGACTGCTCCTCTTATGGCTATAAAACAGCGGAGCGCATTGATAAAGGCGTCTGTAGTCATGTTGTCCAACATTTCTATGTGCACTGCTCTGCAGCAAAGGCATGTAAAAAGAAGTCCATAACGCTTGTGCTCTTTGCGAGCTTGTTTGGTTAGAAAAGGACCAAAACAGTCCATTCCACAGAAGGTGAATGGTGGAGATGGATCCAAGCGCTGCGTTGGGAGATCGGACATCCTTTGTTCCTCTGTGCCTCTTCTGAGTTTGCGACACTTCACACATTGGTGTATAAAATTTGCCACGGCCTTGTTGATGCCTGGAATCCAAAATCCATTCACTCTGATCTCATTGATTGTAAAAGCTTTCCCTTGGTGCTGCACCTTACTGTGGAAATGATCTATTATCAGTTGAGTGACATGGTGACCTTTTGGAACTATCACTGGGTGTTTCAGCATGGAGGAGAATGAAGCATCTTTAAGTCTTCCTCCCACCTTAAGGAGTCCATCAGTATCAAGAAAAGTGTCCATTTGAAACAGTTTACTTTTGTGTGGAAGTGGTTTCCCGTTCTTTAGCAACCTTATCTCCTCTGCATATTCACTTGCTTGCGTGTCCTTTTAACACATTGTGCATTTTGTCTTTCTTGTACTGTACTGTGGCCTGTTGTTTTGACTCTCTTGGCACAGTGAATGAGTCGGGCTACAGCTTGGGTGGCTTTGTACCATGAGGAAAACTTTGTTAACTTGTCTGATAAACCTTTGTTCTCTGTTTTGAGGGTGTTCAGTGCCTGTACCTTCTTAACCTCTGGGTCTCCAAGTGGTATGTTCAAGTCGATGTCTGCAGGTGGAGGTATTTCTTTTTCCCATAGAAACTGTGGCCCTTTGAACCAGTCGGATATGATGAGCTCACTTGCACCGGAACCTCTAGAGGCAATGTCTGCAGGATTTTCCTCAGAAGGGACATATCTCCACTGCTGGGTAGAGCTGTTGAGCCTTATCTTCTGAACTCTATTGGAGACAAATGTGTGAAAATGTCTTGCATCATTATTAATGTAGCCTAAAACTACCTTAGAGTCCGTCCAGAAATACTCCTCTATCTGTGTCAATCCAAGCTCATCTTTTAACATGTTACTTACAGTAATGGAAACAACAGCAGCAGTCAGTTCGAGTCTTGGTATTGTTGTTACCTTGATGGGAGCCACTCTGGTCTTTGCTGTGATTAAAGCACAATGCACTTTATCATCTTCGTTTACGTGTCTTAAGTACGAACACTGACCGTAGCCGTATGAACTTGCATCGGAAAAGTGATGCAACTCTGTTTTTACAATCAGGCCAAAGTCTTTAGGGACATAACAGCGAGGTATTACGATGTTCTCTAAGTTCTTCAAGTCACTGTTCCAGTTTTCCCACATTGGCCTTAATTCACTTGGAAGGGGGTCATCCCAGCCTGTGCCTTGTTTGCATGTCTCTTGAAGCACTCTTTTGCCTGTTAGTACAAAAGGAGAAATGAATCCCAATGGGTCGTAAAGGGACGCAAGCATAGATAGGATGCCACGCCTTGTAGCAGGTTGAACATTGGGGCGAAAACGAAACCTGAGTGTGTCTGAGCCAATGTGCCAGTGAATGCCTAGAGCTCTTTCAAGTTTAGAGTCATTAAACGCCAGGTCACATGCTTGCTGTGGGGAGGCACGTTCAGATGCTGGAATGCTTTCTAACACAGTTTTGTTATTACTTACAAACTTGTGTAGTCTGAGACCACCTGACGCACAGAGTGTCTGAGCCTCCTGAGCGAGCTGTATTGCTTCTTTGATGCTTGCAGTGCTCGTCACCCCATCGTCCATGTAGAAATCCTTCATTATGAATTGAGATGCAAGAGGAAACTGTGTCTCGTTTTCTTTAGCAAGATGCTTTAATCCATAATTTGCACACCCAGGTGAGGACGTAGCACCGAACAGGTGCACCTTCATCCGAAACTCTTGGGGCTCCGTGTTCATTGCGCCATTTTTCCACCATAAAAATCTTAAATAGTCTCTGTCTGCTTCATACACGTGAAATTGGTGGAACATTTTTTCAATGTCACATAATAATGCAACTTGATGCCTTCTAAACCTGATGAGAACACCATTAAGGCTGTTCAGCAAATCTGGGCCTGGCAGCAAATGATCATTAAGACTGGTACCTCTGTATTTTGCAGAGGCGTCAAACACTACTCTGAGTTTGTCTGGTTTTTGGGGGTGATATATCCCGTGGTGAGGGATATACCATCTTTCTCCTTCTTTAGCTTCATTCTGCACTTCCTCTGCGTCACCCTTTTCCA